AGATAGATAGATAGATATAGATGTGTACAGATGTATATATATATATATATAGATAGATAGATAGATAGATAGATAGATAGATATCACATTTTCTTGATCCATTCATCTATTGGGGGTCATCAGTGTTGGTTCCATATCTTAGCTATGGTGAATAGTGTTGCAAGGAATACAGTTGTGCTGGTAACTTTAATGTGACCTTGTTTGTGGTCACTTGAGTAAATTCCCAGAAGTGGGATTGCTGGATTGTAGGGAGTTCTGGGTTTAATCTTTTGAGAAACTTCCATACTGCTTTCCAGAGTGGTTGAATCACGTTATGTTCCCACTATCAGAGTAGTATCTGGCCTCATCCCTGCCAACATCTATTATTATTTGTTTTCTTAATAATGCCCATTGTAACTGGGGTGTGGTGGAATCTCAATGTGGTTGTGAATTGCATCTCTCTTATGGCCAGAAATGTTGAACCTATCTTCAGGTGTCTATTGGCCATTCTTATTTGCTCTCCAGAATAGACTATTTAATTCTTTAGCCCAATGATTAATGGGCTGGTTATTTCTTTGGAGGGGTGTTTATTGAGCTTTAGGTATATTTTTGATATGAGGCCTTGTCTGTTGTATAGCTACTGAATATCTTCTCCCAGTCTGAGAGCTTTCTATTTATCTTGCTGGCTATGGCATTTACCATGCAGAAGCTCTTCAGCTTAATATGATACCATTTATCCATCCATTCTTTGATTGGTTGTGTTTCTTGATCTTTATTTAGAAAGTTTTCACCTGGGTAAAGGAGCCCTACAAATCCCTTTGCAAGAAAATGTAAAGATTTAGAATAAACCATGTTAAGTGAAGTAAGTAGATCAAAAGAAACATAGGCTCCATAGTTTCCTTCATTTGTAATAATTAATATATGTCTAGTATAGTCCTTGCAGACAATCACAATAGATCAATAGCTATGTACATATCACCATATGTACATATGGTGCTATAAAATGATGCTATTCCAAATGAGCTCCAAGATATAGAAACAAGAGGTCTTTTTTTTTGATGACTTTGTTGTGGTCTCTATACTGTATCAAGTTCCTTCTTTTTATTATATCTTTTTTGAATTTCCCTTTGGCTTATCCCCTGTAGTCACAGTTTATATTCTGGTACTATGCATCTTTTATACACGTTTCTATGACTTGAGAAGAGAAGTAGAATAACAAAATGGTGAAACAAGGACAAAGGGTGACCAATGCAACAGTGATACTTACAGGACACTATGTTGGAAATGAACTTTACAACTTTGGGGTGGGTGGGTTGGGTGGAGGGTTAGTAAGAGATGAAGGAATGGTTAACAATATTTAACAAGAAATGTTCTCATTACCCTACTTATGTAACTGTAACCCTTCTGTACAGTACCTTTACAACAAAATTAAATTAAATTAAAAAGGATAAAAGAAAAATGTTATAAAGTTTTACTTCAAAGTGTGACTATATATTCAATGTAATGAGTTTTAAAATCCATTATCTGACCTGTTAATCTTCCATACTGTATTTGCACAACAAATAGCTCACAGTTTCTTAAATCTTCCCTCTAGAGAGTAAAAGGAGAAAGTGATCAATATGTATTCCAGTCCTATACCGTTATGTTTTTAACCCCCTTTTTAAAACTATGTAAAGACAAATATAGGTATATAATTCTGATTATCTTAAATTAACATAAAATCTTTTAATGTCTCCATTCCCAGTCTAAATTAACCAGTCTCTGCTTATTTGTCACAGAGACTTCAGTCCCTACTTCTTGTCTCCAAAGATTCTGCTCCGTTATGTGGCAGAACATCACATGGTAAGAAGGAACACGTGGAGAAGGAAGTTGGTGCTGCTCCAGAAGACCCCACATGGTCAACTGAAGAGCCTCCTTGTGGGAAGTGATCAATTCATTGGAGGTCCTGTTCTCAGAAGGGCTATATCTCCTCTCATGGAGTGAGTCATTTCTCACAGTAGTTGCTTGTTATAAACCATATGTTTAAACTCTTTTAATTGCAGCTTGTTTTTATTTTTTTGTTTTTCTGTTTATTTGGTCATGGGGCTTGAACTCTGGGCCTGGGCACTGTCCCTCAGCTCTTCAGCTCAAGGAGAGTGCTCTACCACTTGAGCTACAGTGCCACTTCCAGTTTTCTGGTGGCTTATTTGAGATAAGACTCTTATGTTCTTCCTGCCCAGGCTGGCTTTAAACCTCGAACCTCAGATCTCAGCTTCCTGAGTAGCTAGGATTATAGGCATGAGCCACCAGAGCCCAGCTACTACTTGTTCTCTTTACATTAATATACCATAATGTTCGACAGACAGGACAGGCCTCACCTGAGTAGAGGCAGATGAGACTACTTCATCTAGAATTTTCTATATCTAAAACTGACTTAAACATTATTCAGAGGTTAGGTCAGTTGACTGATAGAGGCTTCCTTCTTGTTCCTTTCCTATTTCTGTTTATCTTTTCTTTTCACTGTCTCCAAACAACTTCTTTTTTTAAAAAATTAGTTTTTTTATTGTTAAAATATTCTACAAAGGGGTTACAATCACATAAACATAAACAAGGTAATGAGTACATATCTTTTTTTTTTTTTTTTGGTGTTGCTAAGAATTGTATTCTCTGTGATTGTCAATATGGCAAAACTTGCAGGCAGGGGACGGGGGTGGGGGGGGGGGATCAAAAATCAGGCAGGGCAGCACATCTTCCAAACTTGTTTACAAATAACTTCATCAAAATTAATTAAGAACCTCAACAAATGATTATGAATATTATTAGATACTTGGGATTAGTTCACGTAGGGTTGCTCTGTTCTGTGTAGAAATCTCAACAACAAAGGGATTCTACAGTTCATGACATTTGGAAAGTACGCCAATTTTCAACTGCCTAGAATCTTTCTACAAACAGCATCCCAACCCTACTCCTAGTTTGTGTGATACATGTGGTGTGAACCCCACCTCTCAGAACTATATGAGCATAGATCACAAATCAGCCAATCATCACATTCCACTCCTCCAAACTGAGCGATTGGTCAAGGAATGAGAAAATGACATCAATCAGTCCAGTGAGAGTTAGCTCTGGGACTTAGGCAATCACCACTGGAAGTGGGAGCATAAACTTGTTCCACCACTTTGGAAAGTAGTATGGGGGTTCCTCAAAAGACTCCACATAGAGCTCCTCTATAACCCAGCAATCCCACTTTTGGGCATTTACTCGAATGATCACAAACAAGACCATACTAAAGCTACCAGTACAACTATGTTTATTGCAGCATTATTTACTATAGCTAAGATATGGAACCAACCCAGATGCCCCTCAGTAGATGAATGGATCAAGAAAATGTGGTATGTATACACAATGGAATTCTATGCCTCCATCAGAAAGAATGACATTGCCCCATTTGATAGGAAATGGAAAGACATGGAAAAAAGTGAAGTACGCCAGACCCAAAGAAACATACGTTCCATGGTTTCCCTTATTTGCAATAACTAGTACATATCTGAGACTGTTAGGTTTTTCCTCAGAGGTAGCCGAGTAAGAACAGCACCACGCACATGGTATTCAGGTAAGGGGTAGGTTTATTCAGTAGACCTGCTGGGACCAGGCAAGGTTGGCACTCCATGTGGCTGGGAAAGGCCTGGGAATGAGAGAGAGCTGGGAAAGAGAGGAAAGAGAGAGGAAAGAGCTAGAAAAGAGCAGAGAGAGCTAGAAAAGAACAGCAAGAGGATGAGTTCATTTCTTATCAAGCATTGTTGCCTCCTCCGTTGTTTTTCCCCTACTATCCCTTCCTTCCCATCTCTACAACTGTACTCCCCCATCTCCTAACACTCCCCGCCCCACGCCTGCCTAAATTGTAAAGTTTATTTTTCCACAAAGCATCTTGTACATTGTTGCAATGGATCAACCTGTATCCCTATTTAAACAAAATGTTTTTTCCCTTCCACTCCACAAAATATACCATCATCAAATACAGTGAAAACTGCTTCTTACCCGGGTGCCGGTGACTCAAGCCTAAAATCCTAGATACTCAGGAGGTGAGATCTGAGACTCACAGTCCACAGCCAGCCTGGGAAGGAAAGTCTGGGAGATTCTAATCTCCAATAAAAACCACTAGAAAACTGGAAGTGGCATTGTAGCTCAAGTGGGAGAGCACTCGCCTTGAGCTGAAGAGCTGAGGGTCAGAGCTCAGGTGCAGAGTACAAGCCCCACGACTGACCAACACAGGCCTGCAAGGGGAGAGCTTTGTGGGCTGTAGGCTCAGCTGAGTGGGGTCTCAGAAGATATGCTCTGCTCGGTATCCTCAGAGCCATTGGCAGCTGAATGAAATATGTTACAAATCAGACCATGGCTGTAACATGGATTAGGTAAATTTGCTATTTATGTTTTGCTACTGGATATTATATAAAAATTCATATATATATGTATATATGTATTCACATACATATCTGTGTATATATGCATATATATGGTAACTCATGGATGTATCTCTCAATGAACTGGAAATTTTCCATTTTAATCAAGAAATCTGCTTTATGTTTCAAGACTTGATGAATTTTTTATAATCTAAAAACAAAATCTTTTCTAAAGCTCTATTGCCTTGCTTTTAAAAACTTGGTTTGATATACCTAAAATGGCTCTTTCTTTTGGGTGGCTGCAAATTGTTAGCACAATTTAAGTGAAACATGAGTATAGATCAGAGATTTTTAAAGTCAGAAGAGTCGTTGTGAGGTGTGTGCTGCTTGGGATGAGCAGGAGGACAGAGAGTTAGGGTGTGCAAATGCCTCCATGACCTCTCTCTCTCTCCAGTGACCTTAAAGTTTGGCTGCATCTGAGAAGTTGTGTAGAGTAGAGGCAGTTGTGCAGGTAGAGGCCCCAGGAGGAGCAGCTGGGGCAGCCCAGCCTCTCACTTCTGCTTCTCTGGGAGGTTTTTGTCATGGCTTGTATCACTGTAGAAGGAAAATTATAATTCTGTTGACAGAAATAAGTTGCCACATCTTCAGTTTGCAGGCTGCTGATGGCGAGAGTGAACTCTGTCCCAGATCCACTGCCACTGAACCTTGGTGGGAACCCAGATTGCAAAGTAGTTGCATAACTGAGCAGGAGCTTTGGAGCTTTCCCTGCTCTCTGCTGGTACCAATGTAAATTACTGCTAATGCCCTGACTGGCTCGGCAAGTGATGGTGACTCTGTCTCCCAGAGATGATGACAGGGATGGTGTCTGGGTCAACTGGATGTCATATCTGGCACCTGACATTGGAAACATAAAAGCCCTTAGCAGTTTAATTAATTCTGCTGTCCAAGTACTTCCATGAACAGCAGGCAGCTCAGCTGAACACTGGATGAATAATCCCCAGTTTCATTTTTCCTTACTTGCAATCCAGAGCAGCAGGAGCCCCAGGAGCTGAGCAGGGGCCCTCGTGTCCATGCTGTGTGCTGACTGGAACTTCTCCTGCACAGAGTGTGAGCAGCCTATGAAGAAGTTCCCAGTGTAGTGGGCTGTGCTCTGGGCACATGGAAATCAACATGGTTTGGGCAGTGCAAGTCAGAGCTTCAGCTGGCAGATCTCAGTGACAAAGCACAGTCCTGAGGAACCCAGATGTCCAATGTGCTTGTAGATAATGTGTTTCTAGAGACAAGAAAATATTATGATTCTGTTGGCCTGTGATAAGAATAGATTTTTTTCCAGATCTGAGGACTGAACTGAGAGCCTTGAACTTTCCAGGTAAGCACTCTTCCACTGAGCTCAATTCCCAAGCCCAAATATAATTTTTAACATTTTCAACTTATCCATGACTTCGTTCGTTTTTGTTTCACTAAAATCAGTCACTCAAAGACAAACATTTTCAAGAGAAATTAATTTTAGAATGCCCCTAACTCTGGTATCAGTGGAGTTTGTGACACAGAATTCTTAAGAGTATTCAAGTTGTTTGCCTGAACCTTGTTATATGGTTTAATAGTGAACTTTAGTACACAGATATGTGTGTTATAAAAGTAATAATACATATGTAGGTAGAAAGACAGATAGATGCATTGATAGAAAGAGAGAAATGAACAGTATTCAAAGTATTTAATGGAAGGACGCACTGAAAAATATAATATGTGCAATAAAGTGTCTCGATCAGAGGTCTATGGACAATCCGTTGGTGCATTCATTGGTGTCCTGTGAACTCATATAAATGACTGGATTGCTTCCCTTCTGAATGTTCTTCCATATCTCCTCCCTCTAGAGCAGTTCACCTCAGGAATTTCTTCTTTAGTTTTAGGAAAATACCTGGAATCATATCTAGATTTGTGGGTATTACGCATGTATGTGCCAGATATTTCTGAACTTTTAGAGGACATTTGTTTCATCTGTTAATGGAAACTCTTCATTCTCAGAAGCTGAGTTTTTCTCTAGACCGCAGACTCAACTCTACTTAAACTTCATTATGCTCCTTAAGCTGCATAGTCCTTCAAGTTACATGTCTTTTAGGTCCTAAGGCAAGCAGTATTTTCTGTACTAGGCCTGGAGCTTGGCTTAGTCCCTGAGCTTTGTGCTCAAGGCTGGTAGTGTGCCTAATGAGTCACAGCTTCACTTCCAACCTTTTGGTGTTTAACTGATGACAGAGATTCCTAGTCTTTTAGGTCCAAGGTGACTTCCAACCCTAATCATAATATCTCAGCCTCCTCTGTAGCTAGTATCATAGGCATGACCACCAATAAAGCAGATTTCACAAGTTGTATTTAGGAGATGTGATTCATATAGTTACAGAAATGGTAAATTGCAATGTAGTAAAGGGTGGGGTTGAGAAACTGGTGCTACCCAGTTAGTAAAGAACATCTTTAACCTGAGGAATCACAGACAGTGAAGCCAAAGTGAAATGAAGAAGGTCCCCGCATAGAGCTTATCATGTGGACATACTTCATCCCATTGTGTAAATTGTCATACCAGAGTTAGATGAACAGGCTGATCACATGGTACATACCACTGGAAGAATACATAGATGATGTGTAAAGATAACACTACTCTTTAAAGCCAATAGACCATGAGTAACTCATTACTCAATAAGTGTTTTCTTCAGTACTGTTTACTAACAGAACTCCATCTGAGTCTTGATTTGATGACCTCCATCTTCTAAAACATTAATGTTCTCTGCACCACATGCTCACATAATTCTTCTACAATGCTCTTTTCCCCTATTTTGATGATGATTTATAAGCTTCCCTAAAAGATCTGCCCACCTCCTTCACTGATCTTTAATTTCACTTCTAATCTTATCACATGGTCCCATGAATAGCTCCTACTGCCCTTGCTGGGAGGATTTGGTGTCTCTAACATGCACTGTAGGACAAAGCTGGTACTAAATAAAACAAGGAGAATGCAGCTGGCTGCTATAGTTGTGAAGGCCATCTGGTAAATTCAAGGGGCCATAATAATATGATGAGGAAGAGAGACCCCAAGAGTATCTATTTCAGTGTGGTTAGAATCAGCCAGGCTCTAGGAATAACACATTACATTCTCCAGATCCACACTCCAGGGCTGCCTTCACCATGTGTGGACATGTGGCATGGGACTTGTGAATTTGAAATCTGCACAGACTTCAGGTACTGAAATACATGGAAGAGTTGGAATACTAGGCTCATATCAAAGCTGCAGGTAGGATTACACTGCCCTGAGATATGAGGAATGTAGCCACCTGGCTGAGAGATTAGGCTGAAAACCAAGGAAAGAGGTGGTGACCAAGCAGGACATAAGAAAACATTTCTGTGGGTCTTCCAGAAAGAAGAAAGAGCATACAGGAAAGAAAGGTGTTAATGGTCTGGACCATGGACCTGAGTGAGTCCTGGGTCCAAAGAAAAAGTCTATTCCTCTCAGAACAGAGAGGAGCACTTCACAAATGAATGTAGAATTTAAATATCTATTGTTTATACGTACTAAATTACCTATTAAACTAAAACATTAATTGATATAATTCTAAGTGTCTAACTCAGCATTTTAAATTCTGACACTGAAAAAGAATGCTAGGAACAATGAGCAGTTATATTTCTAGCCTAACATCATGAAGCTCAGGACACCATCTGTGTCTTTAAGGACAATCAGTGGCCTGATCACTGCAGAGGACTCTTGGGAACTGCTGGGGACAGGACTGACACTGCAGCCCCCTCTCACCTCCCACAGCTGGACAGGGTGTGTGCACATGTTCCCTTCAGGGCTGCATATCTGCAGGGTCCACCCTCCTTCCCTCACCTTTCTGACCTGCCCTTAATGACTTCACTAGAAGAAACTGTGGGTCATCCTTGTCAGGTTTGATAACAGTTTACAAAGTGGAGGTGGAGAGACACAATCCCCTCTGTAAACATGGTCCTACATTCCATGTGTGCCATGACAAAATTTTCATTTGGAGTTTTACCATTCTTTCTTAATAATTGTGCAGATTCCCAGTAGTTTTATTTGCATAATCATGGCATTTTACTTATTTTATTTTTGGATAAATTATAATTGTCATATATTAACAACACAATGTTAGTTTGTGATGAGAACTCTACCTAAATGCAGCTTATTTTGAAAAAATCACCACCTCCTTTCTATTGCTATACTCTTCCTCTCCCACTCCTACCATTCTTCATACTGTGTAAAGGAACTTCATAACTCAAATGCTCATGTGGGTATATATATATGTATATCTATTTATTTATATACCAATTCACCTTCTACACTTAGTGAGCTTTTTTCCCTTTCTTTCACCCTTACCTGTCTCCCTTCATATATTTTCCGTTTTAGCATTCATGTTATATTATTATTATTATCATCATCAATGTCATCATCATCATCACCACCATCATGACTACCACCATTTAAGTCTGGGTTCCACAAGTAAGTAGGACCAAACAGTAATTTGCTTTTGCATCCTGACCTATGTCACTCAATATGAGGATCTAGTTCCTTCATTTCCTTGCAATTTACATGATTTCATTGTTCATCTCCCTCTGTCCTTACCAGTGAGCCAGAGCATTAGCAGCCCAGGAGCTTACTAAAAGAATTCTCTTTTAAGAGTCCTGATAGGACAAGACAAGGACAAGCTGAGCCTTCATCTCAGACTCAAAAGGGAAAGTCCTCCTTAGGGAGCACTATGCAAATTATCAGGTGGATGCAGCAGTGTAAAGGGAGCACAAGGTGGGCAAAGACCTCTTGTGTGACAAACTGCAAATTATATCCACCTGGATACCATATTTCAGAGGCTCAGAAGTAAAGATCTGTGTTTTCTATAAGACACCAGAAGCATTATCTGGTTGGTTCTCCTGAGGCTGATGGAAGACAGACAAGATTGAGAAGGTTGTCAATGAGCCCCTCTACCAAATCCCCCAGTGACCTTCAGAGCCTGGCTGTGGCTGAGATGCACTGTCAGCAGGCAGAGGCACCAGAAGTAGTACCTGGGTCAGGCCAGACTCTCAAATTTGCTCCCTCCATCCCCAGGGAAGTTTATATTTGGTCTTGCATCACCGTGGGTATTGAACAATTTTTTTTTTTTTGGTCCGGTCATGGGGCCTGAACTCTGGTCCTGGGCACTGTCCCTCAGCTCTTCAGCTCAAGGCTAGTGCTCTACCACTTGAGCCACAGTGCCACTTCTGGCTTTTTTTTCTTTTTGCTTATGTGGTGCTGAGGAATCGAACCCAGGGCCTTGAGCATACAAGGCAAGCGCTCTACCACTGAGCCACCTTCCCAGCCCTGAACTATTTATTACTCAGTAGTAAGTTGCAGTATCTTCAGAATGCAGCCTGCTGATAGTGAAAGTAGACTCTCTTCCCCATCCATTGCCACTGAATCTGGATGTCACCCCAGACTGTAAATTGGATAACTAATAAATCAAGAGTTTAGGAGCATTGCCTTGTTTCTGGTGATGCCACTGTGAATCATCACTAATCACTGATTGGATCTGCAAGTGATGGAGACTGTCTCCTACAGATGCACACAGAGAGGATGGACACTGGGAAATGGGGATGTCACATCTGGCCCCTAATATTGAAAACAGACACCAAATATCAACAGAATCAATTATGTTCTGGGAGTTTCCATGAGGAGTGAGGCATCTCTATTAACCCTGGGCTCAATAAATTCTTAGTCTTGGCCTTCTTTATCTTTGGGTCAAAGCAGCAGGATCCCCTGAGCTTAACAGGGGACCTTACTAATCCTGTGTGCTGACTGGGATTGATTGATGCACAGGGTGTGAGCAGAACATGAAGAAGGGTTCAGGCAGTTGCTTGTGTGGGAGCACATGCAAATCCTCAGGAGCTGGGAACAGCTGCAGGACCTGGGCACGATCCCTGAGCTTTCTTGCTTGAGGCCCATGATCTAGGCATTCTAATACTCGGTTCAAGAGGACTGGAGAGAATGGACATCATTGTCTCATTCCTGAATTTAGAGAAAATGGACTTGGTATGACCTAAATGGCCATTTAGTATAATGCTGGCTGTGGTTTGCCATATACAGCCTTTATTGTATTGAGGGATGTTCCGTAGATTCCTAGTTTTTCCAGAGCTTTCATCATAAAGGGGTATTGGATCTTGTCAAGTTCTTTCTCTGCATCTATTGAGATAATTGTGTGGTTCTTATCCTTGCTCTTGTTTAATTTTATTAATTAATTTGCATATTTTGAACCAGCATTGCATCCCTAAAAGGAATCCAGTTTGATCAAGGTATATGATTTTTTTATGAGTTGTTGAAGTCAGCTGGCCAAGATTTTGTTGAGAAGTTTTGCGACCATATTCAGCAAAGAAATGGGTCTATCTTTCTCTTTCTTTGATGAGTCACAGCCTGGTTTTGGATGAGGGTTATATTGGTTTCATAAAAAGAGTGTGATAGTGAATTTTTGCTTTCAATTTCATTGAAGAGAATGCTGAGATTCCACCATACCCCAGTTAGAATAGCTATAATCAAGAAATCTAGTAACAACAAATGCTGGAGGGGATGTGGACAGAAGGGAACCCTACTTCATTGTTTTGGGAGTGTAAACTTGTTCAACCACTTTGGAAAGCAGTATGGAGTTTCCTCAAAAGACTCCACATAGAGTTCCCCTATGACTCAGCAATCCCACTTTTGAGCATTTACCCAAACAATCACAAACAAGGTCATACCAAAGCTACCAGAACAACCATGTTTATCACAGCATTATTTACCATAGTTAGGATATGGAACCAATCCCAATGCCTCTCAATAGATGAATGGATCAAGAAAATGTGGGACATGTATACAATAAAATTCTATGCCTCCATCAGAAAGAATGACATTGCCCCATTTGTGAGGAAATTGAAAGGCTTGAAAAAATTATATTAAATTAAGTAATCCAGGCACAAAGAAACATAGGTCCCATGGCATGTGGAGGGCTTAAGTGGTAAAGGAAAATCTATCACTATTCATGCATGACATAGTGCAGATGGGGAGAACCAGTGGTTCCCCCTGCGGTAGTTGTTTCTTTTTTTTTTTTTAATTGTGAAAATACCATACAGAGGAGTTACAATTACATGGTCAAGTTAATGAGTACATTTCTTATCAAGCATTGTTACCTCCTGCTTTGTTTCCCTTAACATCTCTTCCCATCTCCTCCACCACCCCCATCGCCACCCCTCACCCCACCCTGCACCAAAGTTGTAAACTTTGTTTTTCGACATAATATCTTATACATCTCATTTTTGCAGTGGGTCCACCTGTATCCCTACTTAAACAATTTGTTTTTTCCCTTCCCCTCCACAAAATATACCAACATCAAATACAGTGAGCACAGGGATAATACCATGGGAGAGGGACCTTACAAAGCAAGGAAGAAATTTCTCATACATATGTTAGAAACAATAGCAAGAAAGAAAAAAACATTTGAGTCCTTATCTTGGGGTCCATTTTGCCTAACATCAACTTATCTGACCGTTTCTGCTTGTCTCAGACATATACTAGTTATTGCAAATAAAGGAAACCATTGGACCTATGTTTTGCGGCCTGGCTTACTTCACTTAAGATATTTTATATTATATTATATATATTAATATATATTAATATATTTTTCCAAGTCTTTCCATTTCCTAAAAAATGGGCAATGTCATTCTTTCTGATGGAGGCATAGAATTCCATTGTGTAAATATACCACATTTTCTTGACCCATTCATCTACTGAGGGGCATCTGGGTTGGTTCCATATCTTAGCTATGGTAAATAGTGCTGCAATAAACATAGTTGTGCTGGTAGTTTTAGTTTGGTCTGGTTTGTGCTCATTTGGGTAAATGCCCAAAAGTGAGACTTCTGGGTCATAGAGTAGCTCTATGTGGAGTCTTTTGAGGAACCTCCAAACTACTTTCCAAAGTGGTTGAACAAGTTTACACTCCCACCAACAGTGCTGTAGGGTTCCATTCTGTCCACATCTCCTAAAGCATCTGTTGTTATTAGAGTTTTTGTTGATAACCATTCTTACTGGGGTGAGGGGAATCTCAATGTTGTTTTGATTTGCATTTCTTTTATGTCTATTGGTCATTTAGTCCCGATGACTGACAAGGTTACTAGTATTGACTTCCAGAAGCCAGTGTGCTGGGAAAGTATTATACTTAGAAGAAAAGGAGCCTGTTACTCTCTGTGTGAATTCATCACTGTTCTTAGTTACAGATATTAAGTGCACTCAGCGTCAATGCACTTATCATGGGATGTGGGTTTGTTCACAAACTATTGAAAAGTTTAAGGCAAAGGGTCTAGAAACTCAGTTTTAAGGGTGGAGTTGTACATGGAGCCTGTAGGGGGAAACCTTGCTCTATACTCACTTGCCTCCTGCAGAGAAGAGCTACCACTCTCTTCTTACTCCAAGAATATGGCACCCAGATACCAGTGTTCTGAACCCACCTCCTGGCCTGCAGCTCTCCTGCCTTATTCACATCCATATTTCATCCTCCTGAGGCTAAATAGATGAGTTGGGTATGTTATTCTACACCCTCTACTTAGAAACTTATTTTCCCACACTTACACACCCTCTTTAAAAAAATGTACCTCACCATATTGTTATCTAACAAATTGCCAAAGTTTCCACTACAATAATAGCCATCCCTCTCAACCCAGAGATGGTGATGCCAAATGCTCTCAGTACAGCATCCATCTTATATCATTGGTCAAAGTTAGTTAGAACATTTTTTGGGGGGGTCCAGTCGTGGGGCCTGAACTCTGGGCATAGGCGCTGTCCCTCAGCTCTTCAGCTCAAGGCTTGTGCTCTACCACTTGAGCCACAGCGCCACTTCTGGCTTTTTCCTTTTTGCTTATATGGTGCTGAGGAATCGAACCCAGGGCCTTAGGCATGCAAGGCAAGCGCTCTACCACTGAGCCACCTTCCCAGCCCCAGTTAGAACATTTTATAAAGATGTGTACTTAGCTTTTAATGGCTGTGACAAGACCTTAATAAAAGCAACTTAAAGGGAAGAATTCTTTATTTCAATCTTAGATTAAAAATTTTACTCTGCCATGTGGGCAGAGTACAGTGGAGCTCACATCATGTCACCCAAGAAGCAGAGTGAATGTACTACTTTCTCCTCCTCACTCTTTTATTGTGCAAGAGACTGAATCCTATTGAAAGGAGCTGTGGACTATGAGGTGGATCTTCCTCTCTCAGTCAATTCTCTTCAGAGAGTTTCTCACAGACAGGTTCAGAAATACACTTTCTTAATCTGCAAGCTATCCTACCCATTTGTCAATGCAGAAGAGCTACTACAAAAAGTCATTCAAAGTAATTGTGTTTTCTTGAACTTTTCATGACAATGGTAAGTGTAGAAATAAGATTATTTAGCAATATATAGATTAGCAATATATAAGTTTCTTCAAAAGTCTCCATGCTCTGTATTCTTACATTTCTGTCTTTAGCACAGGCTCTGGACAAAGTAAGCCTCATAATTTGTGCTAGTGTATGTGTGATTGTGTGTGTGTATATCTACACATGACGCATCTTTATCTTTATATTTATAAATATACACACATATATGTATGTTTGCAGCAACAAACAAATCTTTATGGATGTTTTAAGACATCTGGTCCATAGGGACATATGCCACTCATTTTTAACTGTGAACTTAATGATATTTGATGTCTTTATCGCACATATGAAGTCATATTTTATTGCTCCAATTATATATTAACATACATTACTATTATTTTATATATTTCTGTAATATGGGTAATAGTACTGACTATTCCTTGGATGTTTCCATAAATGAACTAAAATGTATTCTATTTATTCGTATATTTTGTAGATTTTTTTATTTCTCCTGTTTCCGATTGTTTTGTAAACATCTATTGTGAAGCAATTGGTTTTTAACGAAAATAATGTGCAATGAACCACTAGAAACTTTTTGGCACACAACCCAAGTACTTATATTCATCAGCAATTCATACTTTTTTCTGGTCACTCATGGAGCTTTAATTCAGGGCTGGCACTCTCCACTTTGAGCCACATGTCCACTTCTGGTTTTCCAGTTATAATTGGAGATAAGAGTCTCATGGACTTTCCTGCTGACATCCTCAGATGTCAGCCTTCTGAGTAGTTAAGATTTACAAGCATGAGCCACCCACTCAAGACTATTCACACTCTTAATGACTGTTGATCCAACTGGAGCTCTTGTGTTGCAGGTCACTCTGTTTGCCTCTGACATGGATTTTGTTAGATCTTCCTCAGTGGCCAAAGAGTTACTTCTAGAGTTCATAAGCAACATCTAGAGAACAAGGTCACAAAATACCCAACACAGGAGCACATTTTTAGAGGGTTTGTAGTCCAAAGATTAGATGGCAGTGTCTTGAGCTTGCTAAGCAATTCTTTTTTATTTTATTTTTATTTCATTTTATTTTAAAGATGCTATACAGAGGGGTTACAGTTATATGAGTAAGGTGATGAGTACATTACTTGTTGATCATTGTTACCCATTCCCTTGTTGTTGTCCCACTATCCCTTCGCTCCCCAACCACCCACACTCCATGAGCCATACACCTAGCTTTTTCTGTTTTAGTTTTGTCTATCAGATAGAGGTAAGACCATGTTCCATCTTTCTGTAACTCCCTTGTCGCCATAAGTATAAGATGGTAGCACAATGCTCAGATTTCATTCAGAGAGCGTTGTAATAATGATTTGCCAATATAGCCTCAACTTCAATCCACTTATTTCCTTCTGTGACCTTTGGGGATTATAGGTAAAATGTTTAGTAATTGTTTAGTCTTGATATATCCTCACCTTTCTAAAACCATTATTATTTTGAGGCTTGAGATCATGGTATTGATAAGTAGTTGTGCATATCTAAATAATTTTTTCCAAGTTAAGATCTTCTTAGCCAAAATAAGCATGTGCTAAAGCCTAGTTTCTGAAGCTTTGTATGGATCCTTGTTACCTAATTAAAGTAGAGATTGTTAGTCAGAATATATAGGTGAGTTCCTAATATTTGTGTGTCTGAACCCAAGTACCTGACAGGAACAACCTAAGGGAAGAAAGACAGTATTCATTTGGGCTGATTGTGTCAGAGATTTCAGTTCACCATCCTTAGCTTCCTTGGCCTATGGAGAGGCAGAATATCATGATGTTGGACCATCTAGTAGAGGCTACTCAACTCATGGCAAACACGAATTCAAAATTATATAGGAAGAGGTAAGGGCAAGATTTAGGGCAGCTCACATAGCCAGAAGGGAGTTTTTAGTTCAGGGCTGTATCACAGTGGTAGGACATGTGTATGTTGAAAGCAGCAATAAACTCCAACATCTTCTGCCTCCACCCTGTTTTCATGTAAAATCTTTGCCGGAACAACCCCCCACCACCCCACCCTGGCCAAATCTATCCAGAAACTCAGAAATTAGGCTGAAGACTTGATAGATCAGGAGTTGTAGAGACTGGCCTGGTTTATGCAGGAACCGATCCAAACAGGTGTTTCCATTGCTATGCAAGAGGCTCTGACTAGACCTGCAGGAGATGGAGGCCGGCTCTCCCAGGGTGCCAGGCAGGGAAAGTGGAGTCTGGGTCAGCACAACATCTCCACTCGATCCTGAAATTAGAATAAGACAGAAGTGCAAGGTTATGTACAAACATAGAAAAGCATGCTTTTTATTTGCATTTTGATATATTACCTATTGTTCATATTTCATAGTTTGGCTTACAATATAAAATAATTCATATTAGAAATAAAGGTATTTTTAAATATAAATGAGTATTCAGAAGTCAAGGAGAATCTTCACCAAGGCATAAGTTTTAGATCCTTCTGAAATATTTCTCTATTTCCCAGACCTAAATCTCACTTGCCCCATCATAGATAACAAGAACTGAACATCTAACACTTGCATAGATCACCACTGGCCCCTGAGAGCATACCTTCCAACCACTCTTGCTCCTCATTTCCCTTTGCTCTTACGAGGGATCCAGAGCATTTACAGCCACAGGACCTGAGAGAAGGACTTCATTTTTAGGAGTGAAATGAGGAGTCTTGACAGATCAAGGCAAGTTCAGAGCTGAGCCTTTATTTCAGACTTAGAATGGGAGGCTGTCCTTAGGGAGCAATATGCAAATAGCCAGCTGGGGCAAAAGTGTGAGAAGAACCTAGGGGAGGGTAAGGCCTGCTCTTCTGAGAAAAGTGACATCCTTGGCAATAATCAATAAAAATCCATGATGCTTGCAGCACTGGGAAGAAGGACCCCACTGTGAAAGTATGGTTTTGAAGAGACATATGCACCTATCACCCTAAATCAGCATCAGAGACCCAGTGATAGGTAAGTTTATGTCCAACACAGTCTCTAGGAAAGAAATAGATTTGAGGCTGATCTCCCCTGAACCTAATTCAGCTAGTCCAGAAAAAGACAGTGTCACCACCAGCAGCACTAATCCTCAAGGGAGTTGACCAATCAGTGCACAGAGTTGAGCTACCTGAAGATGCATCTGATACCATAGTTCCCATCTGTTCAGGGATGTTTGCTATAAGTGTTAGAAACTCTGATTCCTAGGAACTTCCTATTAAGATTTAGGATAAAGAATTGACAGGGAGAACAAAATTTTCTTTTACAGGTATTATCCTGATGGTCTTTATAATGGAAAAGGAAAATGATAGAAATGTTTATACATGAAAGTGTGAATATATGTTCAATGTAACAATTTTTGTATCCACTAATATCCTGTCATTCTTCCACACTATATTTCTATAGCAAATTAATCTAATAATTCTTTAAAATTTTCTCTTTAGAGTAATGGAAATGTGAAATTGATGAAGATGTACTGCACTCACATACTGACGTGTTGACTTGAAATGCCCTAGTGTAAATACTTGTATATAATTATATACATATACACATGATGAGTGTGTGTATATATATATACATATATATATAATTGTGCTTATTTTAAACTAACATACAATCTTTTTAAATTTATTTTATTTAATTTATTTTTTATTGTAAGAATACCATACAAAGGAGTTACAATTACATGGGCAAGAAAATGAGTACATTTCTTATCAAGCATTGTTGCCTCCTCATTCTTTCCCCTTCCCATCCCTTCCCATACTCCTCCCCTCCCCCCCCCATCCTCCCTCCACTCCCTACCAAAGTTGTTAAGTTCGTTTTTCAACATAATGACTTGAATATCTCATTGTTGCTAACATACAATCTCTAAAGGTCTTCAGTCCCAATCCAAAACAACTGGTTTTTGCTTATTTGTCTCAGAGATTTCAGTCTCTAGTTCCTGTCTCCAAAGATTCTGGACTTGTAAGGCAGAACATCACCTGGCAATTATGAGCAAATAGAGAAGAAGGCTTGTGCTGATGCCACAACGTACCCAATTTAGCCCTGCGAAGAGGTGCCTTATGGAAAATTATTAGACCATTGGCTGTCCATTCCTTGAGAGTATTAAAACTGTTCTCATGAAATGAGTCACATAATATTCACTTGTTATAAAGTGAAGACAGCCATGTGCTTGTCCATCTCAACTTGCATCTGGTTTTCTATTTATGAATATTATTGTGACACAGACAGAACTGGCCTTGAATGAGTACAAAACTCTTCTTCATTCAGAGCTTAGGTCAATTCATCTGTTATAATAAAGGACTGGTACAGGGCTGTGTGTGTGTGTGTGTGTGTGTGTCTGCATTTATCTGTATGTACAAGAGAGAGACACAGAGACAGAGACAGACAGAGACGGAGATAGAGAAACAAAGAAATTCTGAGAACTATGGTTTAAATGAAAATGCTTTTAAATGTGTTGAGGAGTAAAAATCGTATCTGTAGTATTGTTATACTCATCTGAATACAAATTCCTAAATGTGACATGGATCATTGTTAACTTGCTGGCATATATTCAGTTGATCTGAGGTGATTTTGTCATTTTGAATTTGTGGCATGCTCTCAGGGATTCTGCTGCTGATTCTGATTTCTGGACAAATTCTGAGTAGAAAAGAAAATAATACTGCATCTATATTTAGTTGTGTTGCTTCCTATGTGTCAAGAAGGAGTTTTGTTGAAGAAGTGTTCCTTATATATGCTATAAATACTTCATTTTGCATTGACTGAGTTTGACTGAAACTCTTGCTATGCAAAGTGCCTTTCTGTATATATTCTGTGAGTTGGATCACGAATTCACTGGGTCATCAGCTGTGAACTCCTCTCATCACAGTCTCTTCTGGAAGTACATTTCTCAACACTGATGAGATCACTTCTAATCTCGATTAGAAACCTTAAAAGATTCAATCTTGTTCAAATATAACCTTCAAAGAAACAGAAGGGCAGAGAGGAGAGTGAAAAAATTTAGAGCTTTAGTCTGCGCAAGCTGGGGAGGCTGGGCGGTCAGTGCGTAACTATGGAACCCGAGGGTACTACAAGCCGGGCTCTGTAGGCATTCGCTTCTGCCAGGAATTTAACAACATGCTGTACCCACAGGAAGACAAGGAGAACCGCGTCCTGCTGTGTGTATGCCGGAACTGTGACTACCAGCAGGCAGCAGACAGCAGCTACATCTAACGTCAACTAAATCAAGCACGAAGTGCACTAGCTGACCCAGATCATCGCTGACCTGTCCCAGGACCCCACTTTGCCTTAGGCTGAAGACCACCCATGCCAGAAGTGTGGCCACAAGGAGGCAGTGTTTTTCCAGTCACACAGTGCCCGGGCTGAGGATGCCATGCGCCTGTACTACCTTTGCACTTCAGCCACCGCTGGACCGAATGAACATCCCTAATTCACCCTGTAATAAGTGCCAGGTTCTGTGCCCATGAAAAGAAGAAATTTAGAACTCCATACACATTTCTTGTTTTCAGTTGTACTTTTATTATCTCTCTGTAGTTGTGCAAAAAAAGTGTTACCATTAAACATGTCAGTTTATAAATACAATGCATCTTGAATAATGTCACTCTTTTATCTTTCTACTCTGTGCTTCTCTATCCAACCCTTTTCCCTCCAGAAACATTTCCATGTATAAAATACATATTAGATTATTAAATATGAATTTATGGCTCTATATATGTATGGTACACGGAAGACCCTTTTCAGACTACTCTTGGAAATACTGAAGCTATATGGTTCACTATTTTATATGTACCTGTTATACAGTCCCATAAGTGTCCTAAATGTATTTTATTTATTCACATTTTTCATACTTTTTTCTATATGTGTATTTATTTAATTGGGCCACAAGCCAAGGGTGCTTTGACCATCTAAACTCTGAATAAACAATAGAAAAAAATGTTGTCCAATCATTCTAAAACAAGGTACAAATTTATATTATTTCTCCTTTTATTTCCTCAAGTTACTATAAAATCATTATTTCATTCTCCCTTTATCATGTGAACTGCAGAACAGACAAAACTGGTACTAAATAAAACAAGGTGAAGGAAGCTGGATGTTGTATAGGTGTGAAAGCGACCTGGTAAACTTAGGGGGCACATTAATAGATTGACAAAGAGAGGCCGCAAAATCATTGACACAAGTAAGGTTGAAAGAAGCCAGATTCTAAGGATAACCCCTGAAATTTTCATGATGTATGCTCCAGGGCTGGCTTCAGCAAATGTGGCCATGTGGCTTGTGAATTTCCACTCCACATAGACTCAGGCACCAGAATCCATGGAAGAATTTGGAATAATGATCTCAAACCAGAGCTGTGGGCAGGCTTACACTTCATGGGTTGTGAGTTTCTGCCTGACAGATGAGGCTGCGGACTCAAGGGAAGGAGGATACTGGAAGACTTTCCTGTGGATCTTTCTGGGAGAAGGAAGTACAGTTCAGAAGGAAACTGTTTATGGACTAGGCCATGAACCTGAATGAGGTCTGGCACAAGTTTCTATATCATCAGAAGAAAAGCTACATAAACTTTCGAGAGGAAATAAAATGAAAAAGGATAAAGATAACAGGAACTATGCTAAACATGGTGGGGAGCTGAATATTCATCCATTGTTGAATGGAATTTAAAATGCTACAGAAATGTTAAAATGACCTTGAAATTGGGTAACAATTTGACAAAAATGTACTTATTACCTTGTTTATATAACCATAACCCCTTTGTACATCATCATGACAATAAAAAATATGAACTTGGACAGTGCTTTCTAAACTTGAAAGCTCTATTAAAATACATTTCAAAAAACATGGTGGGGCATTTATCCCAGAGTAATGCATTTCATTTTCACATAGAAACTTGTAAAGAAATAGTCTTAGAATCCTTATCAGTAGTAAAACTAAGAATCTTCCCAACTATTCCTAACTGATAAAAAAATAAAATAAAATGTGTTTGTTCAACCAAGGCATTCTATTCAACATAAACAGGAGCTAAACTATCATATACATTGCCTGGATGAACCATAAGAAAGCTATATTAAATAATACAGCCAATCTCTTTTTTAGGCTTTCATATTTTTATTTCCAATTCTGTTAATAAAGAATGATTATGGCGGTTCCGGGAAGATGGCGGAGGAGAAGCTGGAATCTGAACAAACTCTCGCATAGAAAGCAGTTTTAGAGTTCCAGTGAACAGTCCTAAGCCAGAGAATCACACCAAGTGTGCCATCACAGGACAGAGAGTTAGTCAAGAGAGGGGAAGCCAAGCAGACACATCTGAGCGCCTGCCAGCAGCTGCTTCTGCGGCGGCAGGGTCGCAGCGGTGACTGCAGCCGCGGCCATACCTGAGAGCTCACACAGAGAGTCCGGGACGAAGGAGCCAGACACAGCGGGTGAGAGGATTCTACTCAACACCAGCAAGAACCGACAAGGAGCGGACATCTTCATCCTGCAGTTTGCAGACCAGAGACGACCCAGGATCCAAGTCTCGGCGTGAGTAGAAGCCCGACGTCCTCACTCCTTCTCAGGGAGCAAAGGAGGGAAGGCCACCCCACCCCCACCCCCAGCACCGGTGATCTCCATCTTGGATACCAACAAAGCTCGGAGGAGCTGCTAGCTCCAACTCAGGCCTTGGAATAAAACGAGTCATTTAACAGGTCACAAGAACTTAATGGCGAAGTGACCTGCCAGACTCAGCTCCATCCAGGGAAAAGTCACCCAGCTCAGGCACCAGCCATTGGAGTGGCTTTCCTCACTGGGTAACCAGAGCCAGAGGCTGCCCCTCCCTCTAGCAGCCTCCACAATCAATTGAAAAACAGAAACCCTGAGAATGGCTCCAGGGTGGGCTCTGTGAATTTTTCACAAAATAGCCCCAGGGAAAAGCTACTGTTTGTTGAAAGGCCTCAACTCTACCAGAACCTAGCCTCATCACCCCTCTTTTGTGATTCTCAAAGCAGATCACCCTCCCATTAAACTAACCTGGGAGGGGGATCTCAAAATCTTGGGTAAAGCAGAGCATTTTTCTGCCTGTTCCAACAAACTGACTTAAGAAACCAATCAAGCCACAGGAC